ATCTAGAGTGGAGATATAGGAGGGGAGTGTACGCGGCGGCGGCGTGGGGCGCAACGATGGCGGGAGCCAGCATCGCGCCTGGGGCGTGGATTGAAGCGTGTTACGCGAGGGGACGCAGACCGCGCGTTGGCCGTACAACATAGGAAGCGATTGGCGCTCAGTTACACCTTCCCGACCGCAACAATTTTGCGAAGTACGGCTTTCACTGGAGGAGATAGTTTGACGTTAGATCTGGGGGAAATGAAAGACCGAGAATTATTATTGCTGAGTATAATCACCTCTCTCTCTCTCTCTCTCTCTCTCTCTCTCTCTGGTGTCTTCTGTGCGCATAGAACAATCTAGATTAAAAAGCATCATCCGTCACTGATACCTATCGGACGGCGACAATACTTTGGAGGATTGGGACAGAGGGCATGTAAATGTGGCTACCCTTCCTTGCCGATGATTGTAGATGGGGAAAACTTGACAATTCATTTTTGAGTGCATGACCATCATTGAAGACTATAAAGGGATTCTGTGTCTTTCGGCGGAAAGTGTTATCTCGCGACCAATGATAGGAGCGAGTATCTTCCTGAAATTAAAGTATTTTTATAGGGTGAAATATTTCATTTCAATTTCTTCCCATTTTTAGTCAAATACAAAATAAACTCGTGATGCTAAAACAACACGTACTTCATTGCCCTATTTTCACGCAAAAATAAGTAAAAAATGTAGTTAGTTACGACGTAAGTATACATTTTTGAAAGATTTTTTCTTAGCAAGAGCTTTTTTAGCAACCTGATTTATCCATTTTTTGTTACCATGCCCTGTAATGCGAGTGTTATGTGGAAAATTTGCCGTTTTTCACGCAGCATAACATAACGTTTTCTGTAAGCGGTACTATGAAAGTAAAAATATGTTAGTTTACGTCAGTACAAATAGTTTGTTATGTTGCCTCCAGGAGCGCTTGCGCCACTGACCTTAGCCTCTACGAATATTTATATTATATTTTATCCCCAGTAGGTGACAGGGAGGTATTGAAGAAGCGTCTTTATCCTCAAGAATAAAATAAAATCCCTCTCCTTTTATGTAAAATAGCTGAGTCCCGCCCTTGTGACTTCAACCATGCGTAAGTAGCAATCGTGCTCAAAGTTCATCAACTGTCACTGATACATATCGCGCGTTCACTCATTGATCGATTGAAAAGTTACAGCTTATGCTCCGACTCAGTCGAAGGTTGTAGAGGAGTCGCAGGTGGCAATAATATTTGTTGCGCATGAGCAGTAAAAGTGAGCCTGGTACTTTTAATCGAAGCGTTTGGTTTCGTAAGGATATGTGTCAAGAACTGTTTGTGGGCAGAAAGAAAAGTAATACCTAATTAAGACAAAAATACCGTAAGACTTATCTTATTACAATATGATATTGAAAAACTATCAAACCAATACTGGAATATGATGTTACGACACTAATATCGTACAATGTTTTATTCACTTTGTAGAAATTCAAATGCACAATAATTTGTTTTTTAATTTGACTACTTATCCTGCGAAATGTGTCATAATGATAGTGATAGAAGTAATTAAGAAGACGTGGTTTAGTTATAATACTACATGCATACACAACTAATCATTGTTGCTAATAGTGGGTTATGGTTTGTTACAGACGTGTATCTTAATAACTGTTGATACGATACCGATCTCAGTTTCGTCAAGATTGACTTTCGACAATCAAAGATGATAAACGGGTTTTTCCTGCTCACTTTCTCAAAACTTAGAAGAGTGTTCGAAAGGTACTTACCGTGCGGTTGCCGAGGTTCTTGACGCGGCAGTTGAGGTAGGCCGTCTTGCCCACCAGCCCCGTGAGGTTGTTGGGCACCGACGTGTCGAAGTAGGGTCCCGTGCCGGGCGTGGGCAACTCCTGCAGAAACTCCGTGCGAAAGCGACGAGACCCTTCTGCGCCTGCGTAAAGCGAAACAAACACTTCGTGAGTCACTGACGTAACGTACTCTTGGCAGCTTAATATTGAATGTCTTATGCGCTTCTCGATCGCATAGATCTACGTGAAAACAATCATTTCAGTAGAAAAAAATGCAACGAAATATGATCTATTTACACACGTTGCAATCAATTAAATACATGATATTCAGAAGGAAAGTAAAAATAAAACTGAAATAGATTTTTTATAGTTTGTTATATTTAACGTCATGAGGCCGGTAACAGCGAATTCAAACCGGGTCTGTTATTTGTGTTAATGGCCGCGTGTCATGCGATACTATTTAAAATACCATCTTCTTGTGAGAATAAAATAAACAATAAATATAATTTCATTTGGTAAAAACCAAATATATTTGACATTTTATAAATTCTGAGAAAAACGTGTTTATTTTAGGCTATGTTTCAGTGGCAATGTATTTTCGTGGTTTTGATGAACAATTGAAATGCGGTTGGTATAATTATGAAATAAAGCACCCCGAAATTACAGTGATATTGACTCAATTACACAAATATTGCAGAATCTATAAAATATCACTTATACTCTTCTGAATTTCACTCATTCATTTATTGGAATAAGTATACTCATACATCTTTAACTATAAATTATTTGATTCGATTGTTCTGAACGGACGGCGGACTGTAAAAACTATCGCACGCTGACCCCTAAGAGTTGCTTTTCGTTTCTCTGTTTGGATGCATAAGTCAATATTTTCACACCTCAGTATACGAAAAAGTATCAATTCTGCGTAAGGAATCAGGATGGTTATTGTCTATCAACCGTCGGAGAAACTATGTTAGACGATTTCTAAAGGCGGTGAGCCTTTGTTCACTGGAGTGGGAGTTTTGTAAGGGGTTTGAAGATGATCGAAACATCCGTGATACCTTTTGGAGGTGGACGTTGGATCTTAAAGAAACAAGTAAGTCAAACTTGCAGCTGATGCGTTTAGTTCCCTATGTCTCTATGTACCGAGTGCTAGATTTGAGGAAAATTATGTAAAAATTATGTATGGCGTAAATTAAAGAAGGAAAAAAGACCGCATGCAGGATGATAATTATGTGACGGAAGGAACTGCTTTAGAATTAGTAAGTAAGAAACATACGCAAGAGTATTGTATTATGAATTGTTAATATTCACGTGTCTGTTCTTGTTCATTCATGATTGTTGTTCTTGGCTCTTTAGTTTTTAACAGACCTTTTTAGCTATTGTGGTGTTGACATAATAACACTATGAATATGCATTTAGTATTAGGTTTTTTATTGCAACAGTTTCAAAACCATTTGTGCTCATCATCAGGCAATAATAGAATAATATTTACATTGATACTGGATAATATCAGGTTAAGTACATTTAATATAATACAAAATAGACAATAATACAATACACACTAAACTAATAATTACACAACATAAGTAAATGGAGCATACCTTTTACAACTATCAATTAATCATAATATCTTTCCGTAATGCTTCTTCAAATTTTTATACGGCCGCGGTACCAACGTATGGTAGCATGCCATATTTGTGTTAGCAGAAAATATATATAGGCATCATGTGGAATAGATAGAACTCTGTATTCCAGGCATGCAGCGTGCAGGTGGTGAGCTAGGAGTATAAAATTCTACGACTATTGAAAGATTATTTTACATAATTTTTATACCAGTTAACATTTATTAGACAAAACTTCACAGTTATTTAACTATCAAAAGTATATGTACTTATTTCCTTGTTGTCTGGTGTATGTCGAAATCACATATCAGTTAATACTTACACTGGTTAAATTGTGGTTTCCACCAATAGGATGCTACCTTTCAATAATTGGAATATTGTTAGAGTTCGAGATACTTTCATTTCTGGATGTATACATTATTTAACTGGATGTAATAAGTATAAATATTACCAGTATTCTTGCTTGTGAACGTCTTCGCTCTTGGCAAGCTTTCAATATAACTTTTTGGTTTTGAAGCAATTTCTTTTGAAATGATATCTAACCATTCATTCAAATATGTTTATTTAGATACCAACTATGGAGATATTTCATTATCTTTTACGCATAATAGTGAATTGTATCTTCATGTTTTAACTTCAATAATTAAAAAAAATGAACTAGCAAATCCAAAAAGTTATGTACGCACCACTGATGTGACTTTATATTTCTGCCTCGCGGGTCAGAGACTTTCAGGTTTGAATTATTGCAACTTTCCAAAAATTAGGGGTTTCAACAAAAATGAGACCTGTGCCATTCGCACAAAAGTTCTTCATACTATCTATCATTAAACAAAATTTAATGAAAAACGTTGGAGCTATTTTTTTGTTTTGGAGATGTCACAGACGTTTTATGTAAAGGAAATGGATTAGATAAAATTTCAAATGATGAAAAATTCATTAATTTTTATAATTTATTAAAAAGTAATATTATATTACTATTACTAAATGAGAGAAAGTACGCGCTATTTTAGCAACACTAGTTTAACTATTGTAGCATGTACTCATTTATACATCTTTAAGTTTATAGTTACGTATCACTATTTAGATTTTAATTCGATAATAATTTAATGTATTGTACTAACGCAATTGTAGTAGTAATAAATCTAGTCAAATTATTTTCAGACCTTTTAGAACTAGTAACAATTACCACAAAATAATTAGTAGAAACGCCTCATTCCCAAGCGTTTGGCACGGCATTGCTACTTGAATTTACTATTTGTTTTTTCAAGGCAGTGGATTCTAATAGAATAAGTTATAATATTTCTCTAATATTACAAATTAATGCCCTGAAAGAAGTTTATTGTGCTCTGCAACTCAGCAATTGCGCTGCAGCGCACGCTCCTAATGTCTTAGTTGGGAGGTGAAAATACCCCGTCCCCTGCCGCATCGATCTGTAACCTTATTAAAACCTAATGAGAGTTTGCGCACCCAAATCTAATAGCGCAAAGCGTAACTACTCTTCGCACGTTCCGAGCTCTTAGACGCAAAGCCACGACGGCGGCATATTGAGGCTTCTCCACTTTCCGTTTTAAACTCGTTCTATTTTTGGAAGCAACGTTGCGCTCTCAATTAGGAATTAATTTGTGATCATTCATCATCACCGATGAATAACTACTAGCAGTAATTGATTACGTGTTTGCTCTTATTACGGGAAGTTCATAAAACAAATATACGAATACAATATAATTAATTTAGAAAAAACGTGTAAATTAACGATTTTCAATTAAAAATCGTTAATTACTTATATTTGATTCAAAAGCCAATTAGTAAAGATAAGTTTTAAATTTGGATATTTGTGTTGAAATCCTTTTTATTACTATTTATTTCTTTTTCTTTTAATTCTAATTTGATACATTTTTATTCCAATTTCTATTTAATACTGAACACAGATATAAGTGCTACATATTATGTTGATTTGCCCGCTATCACATTTTGTTTTGTTACTTCATTGTTGTATATTTACAATGAATAAGAAAATATAAAAATATTAATTTAAACCCAACAGATTCCAAACAGTTCAGGTCTAATTTTAGAAAATTGTGATTGTAGTGATATACACTTTCATAGTATTCATATGCAAGTATTCTCTTCCAGAGGAAAACAGTATTTCGATGACATAGTCGGCCATATTCATATCTGTACCTAAGATTTACTGTAGTTCTGAACAAATTTCATCTTATGGCCTTATAGTCATCATTATCAAGGACGAGACTCTAAGGCTGCTCTGATGAGATCTCGGGGTTGCGATTTCAGATACTAATTATCTCTGTTAATTATTCCGTAATTGGAATTAAATTATTTTTGTTGTAGCATAAATTACACGAAAAATATACTCAAGAGCACGCTACGGAATTGCCAATCCAATGTTTGTAAGTACATTATCATTGGAAATTGTGGATAAATGCCCGACTCGCGAAGCGAGGAGGGGATTTATCTGAGGATTTCGAAAGCACGAGGGGTATTGAATATGACTATTCTACGAGCGGAATGATGCCCAAAGGAGTTTCAAAATGCGACAAATATTGACAATAACTGAAAGCGTATGTTAAAATCAGAGTTCATGTTATAGTACACACGTTGTTTATTGGACATCAACATAGCGATCCATGCATACCGCCTCCTAAGATAAATGAGTCACAGTTTATGATTGGCCAGTAGGTAGAAGCGGTAAGAAAAAATAGATAGAAAAAGAGAAACTTTTTGAGAATACACCGCACTGATTGGGGCATTTTGCATGTATAGTTAAACACTAGTATTTTATTTTTCACGAATAGAATTGTCTACGTAATTCTGAAGATTGTACAACCCAATGCATATTTACCGGAAGTAAATAAAAACCTAAATGAAGTGATTATGCATAACATGAAGAATGTTCTTACTAAGTGACTATTATTGTGATCATTACATCTGTTAGAATATCATTCTATGAGAGCAAAACAGTGTTAAAAATAGAAGATATCACACTTTGCGTTGCCTGGAAACTTCATGAAGATAATGTGAATTTCAACACAAAGAGAATAGGCAAAGAGTTCTTTGACTAGTTGATTATTTTGCTCCCCATTCAACATATTTCGTAATCAAGGGCACTCATAAAAACCAAAAGCTACAACAGTTGACGTAACGCATCAATCGCGAAAAAAATTTAGCAACGCCACGCATAAATCCTAGAAGGAACTCAAACTTTCACGTAACGTGCACTCAAAATCTTAACTTATATCCCGGAACGACCCATGGGAGTACAGAACTAATACTTCTGATAGTGACCACCTCTGGGGATCGACCAGGAGCAGCAGGGGCGGGAAGCTAGCCGAAAAAGTCCGGCGCAGCGCGCACTCAACGGAGCGAGCACCTCGCAGCATGCGTCGGCGCGCCGGTTCCGGCAAAAATACAACGCCAACGTGTCCTGAAACCCGAGAGGACCTCGGGTGACGCTCGGACGCGCGCGGCAATCGTCCCCTCCAAGCGGGCGGGTCCGGCCGGACACATTGTAACAAAATAGAGAACTCTAGGGCAAGAATCTTTGGGGTTCTCTGGGAATTTCCGGAGAAGTTCGGTTCGGGCGGACGAAGGGGGAGGGAAACCGTCCGGCCGGCTTGCCCGGCCCGCCCGGCCGCCCCGCCGCCCCGCCCCGGCCCGCCTCCCGCCCGCGCCCGGCCCGCCCCGGCCCGCCCCGGCCCGGCCCCCCGGCCCGCCCGCGCGCCGGCGGCCCGGCCCGGCGCCCGGCCGCCCCGCCCGCCCCGGCCCGCCCCGGCCCGCCCCGCAGCGCCGCCGGCCCGCCCCGGCCCGCCCGGCCCGCCCGGCCCCGCCCCGGCCCGCCCCGGCCCGCCCCGGCCCGCCCCGGCCCGCCCCGGCCCCGGCCCGCCCCGGCCCGCCCCGTGCCCGCCCCGGCCCGCCCGGCCCGCGCCCGGCCGCCCCGC